ATGTCCATTGGTTTGGCTTATATGCATGCATACAAGTCCTTTGGTTGATCTCTTCCCCTTGCCCCCTCCCTCCCCTACTTTACCTCTGGGGATTAATAGTCTGATCGCTGTTTCTCTGTCTTTGGATCTGTCCCTGTATATTATTTATTTCTGCTCTAATCTTTATTATTATTTCCTTCCTTCTACTTACTCTGGGCTTTTCTTGTTCTCTTTCTAGTTCTTTAAGTTGTAGAGTTAAATAGTTTATTATTAATTTTTCTTGTTTGTTTGTTTTTTTGAGATAGGTCTGTGGGGCTATGAACTTTCCTCTCAGGACTGCTTTTGCTGTGTCTCATAGATTTTAGGTTGTTGTATGTTCATTTTCATTTGTTTCCAGGAAGTTTTTTTATTTCTTCCTTGATTTCATTGGTAACCCATTCATTGTTTAATAACATGCTATTTGGCTTCCAGGTGTTTGAATGTTTTTGAGTGTTTTTACTGTAGTTGATTTCTAATTTCATTCCTTTGTGATCTGAGAAGATGCTTGATATGATTTCAATATTTTTGAATTTGTATAGACTTGTTTTGTGTCCTAACATGTGGTCTATCTTTGAGAATGTTCCATGTGTACTTTAGAAGAATGTATATTCTGCAGCTTTAGGGTGAAATGTTCTGTAACTACCAATGAAATCCATCTGATTCAGTGTGTCATTTAGTCACTGTTTCCTTATTCATTTTCTTTAATCCTGCCCACATCCCCATACAAGATCTATTCTTTAGCCCTGGCCAGTTTTCTCAGTGGTTAGAGCATTATCTCTCAGACCGAAGGGTTGTGGGTTCGATTCATCATCAAAGGCACATACCTCAGTTGCAGTTTCATCCCCGGCCTTGTTTGGGGTATGTGCAGGAGGCAACCAATCTACATAAGTGTCTCTCACATTGATGTTTCTCTCTTTCTCTTCCTCCTCCTCCCTCCCTTCCACTCCCTCTAAAAAGCAATGGAAAAAATATCCTTGGGTGAGGATTAATAACAACAACAATCTATTCTTTAAAATACCATCAGACATCCCTTTGAGAGGACCATGTGTTTCCTATCCAGATCCTGACAACAGGGGGTGTCACCATCTCCCCTCCTCCCCCAACCCCCAGAGTAACTCTAGTTTCCTTGGCTTTTGCCTCCACCTGCTCATTTGGAACCACATTAAGTCTTGACCATTCTATGTGCCTCTAGGAAACCACTTCTGCTCTGGTGAGAGCTCTCCAGGAAGGCAAGCTGCTCAGGAACTCTGGCAAAGTCAGGGAGAAGCCTGTCTTCCCTCTGGATTACACCACACAAAGTTTCCCAATTGGCTGCCTGGGTCCCAGGGCTCCCCACCCCCATCCCCAGGAACTGGGCTAGGCATGGTCTGGGCTAGGTGGGGAGGTCTAGTGACAGAACTGCCCGTCTCTCTGGAGCCTGGGAGGGATAAGATCTATTACTGTCAGGATCACAGGGCAGGCCCCTCCTTTAATCACATTGAGTTTTCTCCCAGAAGTTTCTCATTCCTTATGCAAGCAGGCTCCTGGCAAGGTGTGCTGCCCTGTTGACAGACATGCCTAGACATATCTAATTCTATTTGGACTTGATCTGGGATCTTTTCATACAAGGTTGGGAAGGTAGATTTCGGTCAGGAAGAGGAAGGCCTCCAACATAATCCAACAAGTTTTAACCTAATATTCTAGTCAAGGAATGGCTAAATGTATTCAAGCTGGGGAGAAACCTGGATCAACACTTGTTAAGAGCGTAGGGTGTTCCATCTCAGAGCCCATGTTCTTGCTCTCCCTCTAGTGAAGTATCACTTCAACTAGAGAGGCTCCATCAGGGCACTCTCTATCACCACACCTCGTTTTATTTCCAGCAGAATATGTATATTTCTCTGAAATCACAGCTGTTTTCTTCTTTTTTCCGCCTATTCCAATGATGGAGAACCTTTTGAGCTTGGCGTGTCAGCATTTTGAAAAACCCTAATTTAACTCTGGTGCCGTGTCACATATAGAAATTTTTTGATATTTGCAACCACAGTAAAACAAAGATTTATATTTTTGATATTTATTTTATATATTTAAATGCCATTTAACAAAGAAAAATCAACCAAAAAAATGAATTCGCGTGTCACCTCTGACACGCGTGTCATAGGTTCGCCATCACTGCTATTCCATGAAGGCAGGAGATACCTGTCTTAGTCAATGCTACATTCCCAGGGCCTGGCTCATGGTAGGCACTCAATAAATGTGTGTTGAATTTGTTGAATGAGCAAATGAATTTGGTCCAATGAATGAATTTAGATGAGAAAGCCTGGAGAGGTCAAGGGATTTAGTTGTCTGCTTTAGAGTACACAACTCATCATTGGCAAAGCTGGGACTAGAAACAGGATATCTAATTAAGTCCACTACATGCAGGTGGAGAGGCAGGAGGGGAATGGGGTAGCAGGAAGAGTAAGGAGAGTCTGATCTAGGAGCTAGACCAGTGGCATCTCTCAGACATTGAGGTTCAAAAGGGAAGGAAGGAGGGGCATCTCTGGGGAAGTACAGTGACGTAGTGGCCAGAGTTGAGGTGGTGAAGAGACAAGATCTAGAAAGAAAAAATTAAAATGGTTGGATGTTTACTTCTTGCCAGGCAATGTGCCAGGTATAGTACCTGTACCTGTGTGGTATGATTTACAACCTGTGCTGTAGGAATTATTGTCCCCATTTTTTAAAAAACATATTTTATTGATTTTTTACAGAGAGGAAGGGAGAGGGATAGAGAGTCAGAAACATCAATGAGAGAGAAACATCGATCAGCTGCCTCCTGCACACCCCCTACTGGGGATATGCCCACAACCAAGGTACATGCCCTTGACCGGAATCGAACCTGGGACCCTTGAGTCCGCAGGCTGATGCTCTATCCACTGAGCCAAACCGGTCATGGCAATTGTCCCCATTTTTATGAGCTAAGGAAATGGAGGCACAAGAGTTTAAATAAATTACCCTCTTTTTCCCATTTTTTTTGGAAATGTATTTTATTGATATTTTTACAGAGAGGAAGGGAGAGGGACAGAGAGTTAGAAACATCAATGAGAGAGAAACATCGATCAGCTGCCTCCTGCACACTCCCTACTGGGTATGTGCCTGCAACCAAGGTACATGCCCTTGGCCGGAATCGAACCTGGGACCCTTGAGTCCGCAGACTGACGCTCTATCCACTGAGCCAAACCAGTTAGGGCTCTTTTTCCCATTTATCAAGTACCTGACTCTAAGCTTGACCTCTTTCCACCCTCCACATGCCTCTTTGAACACAGGGTTAAAGCTGAGACTTTTCCTTTAAGATGCTTGAGGTCCACAGTTAATTGGAAGAGAGCAGCAAGAGTTAAGTATTTATTAGTAGGGAGCAGGGGTACTTGGCTGGCACCTTGCTTCAGAGGAGAAGCATAATAATAAGGCAGGGGCTTCGTTTGCTAAAGGGAGAGCAGATAGAGGTGTGAAGAGTGGAGAGATAAGTTCACCCTGAGGGTCTGCTTCAAGGTGCTGTAGAGAGGCAGGTTAGGAACTGCAGGACTTGGAGCCAGAGGTTATACAGATCACCTTTTTCCTTATCTGGATTCCAATCTAGGGAGAAGCAGAGTGGGAGTGGGATTGGTTGGGCAGAGTTCAGTCCAGACTAGAAGTGGTGTCAGCCCATCTCCCCTCCCCCGGTTGGGCCCCTTCCTTCCAGTGGGCACTCTTGGCCCTTGCCTGTAGGCACACAAACATAGATGTTCCAGATGTTCCAGGGCAGCTTTTATTTAAACCCCACTGCCCTTTGTCTCCATAGGTACACTCGTGCCTGTCAGACAGCAGCGCTGGTATGGAAAATAAAGGTCACCGAGGCCCAGACGCAGACTGTGCCCTCCACAGAGCCAGGCTCTGTTCAGGCCGCAGGGCTGCATAAGGTGTCCTTTGTCCTGGGGATGCCTCAAGGGCCTGTGTTGGAGGTGGCCCCAGCCCAGGGCTAGTCCCTGACCACTGATGCCAAGCAGCTGGCTGTGGGTCAAGGTCAACCCTTTCTCCACGGGAACCCTCAGAGGCTGTGTTACCCACCAGACCCTCGCTCTCATCTAAAGCCTCAGGGTATAACTCAAACTTGCTAAAAAGGGCTTTCATAAACAACGCAAGTCTGAAAGCTCGGGCGGGGAGGCCCCTCCAGCCTTGGGGGCTTCAGGAGGGTCTGGGCGGCCTGCCAGCGCCTGGCTGTCCCCAGACTTGGGGGGCGGGAGGCGGTGCTGTTACGGTCTCCAGCCAGCCCGCCCGGTTTCCAGCCCAGAGTTTCCTGGGGCCCTCCCCACCCTGCCCTCGCTTAACCCTTTCCTCGAGAGAGGGAGTGGCACAGGTCCCGGTTCTCCAGGGAGGCCTGGGAGGCGGCGGGGCGGGAGGGAGGAACGGAGGGAAAGGCCGGGTCCCTGAAAGCAAGCCACCTCTCCCTCGCCACCGGAATGCCCCTCCTTCCCCTTCCTCTTCCTTCCACTGGGGAAAGGGGAACGTGGAAGGAAATTAACTTTGACCCCCGGATTCTGGCTCAGGGCCCAAAACTTGGGTGGAAGAGGCAGAGGCTTCCAGGACCCTCCCCGCCCCCTCCCGCCCGCCCCATTCTCCCTCCCGCGTCCCTCCCCGCCCCGTAAGCTGCCCAGACGGAGCAGTCGGTCCCGGAGGGGCTGGCGGAGGGGTGGAGGGGAAGGCTGGGGGCGGAGGGAAGGGCGGTGGGAGCCCGACCGGTCCCACCCCCGGCTGCAACCCCTGGCAGGAAGAGATTGTCGCGGGAGCCGCCGCCGGAGGGACGAGCTGCGGAGGACGGGCGCCTGGGCGGCGGTGGGTGGGTCGCCGAGCCCGCGGGACCCGCCGAGGCGGGGGGCGCGCCGCAGGGAGCAGGGGGCGTGGCCTGGGCTCCCCGGACAGGGGCTGGGGAGCCTCCCGCGCCGGGACCCGGGTGACACTTCGGGCTCCCTCCTTCCAGGGGTAGGGGGGCAGCCATGCTCCTGGTCGGGGGCGAACCTCCGGCGCAGGAATGGGTCATGGTGCAAACCAAATCCAAGCCCCGCGTGCAGCGCAGCGCCTGCAAGTGCAGCGCATCTTCAGAATCAAGCTGAACGCTTTCCAGAGCCGCCCGGACAGCCCCAATTTCTGGCTGCAGCTCGAGGGGCCCAGGGAGAACATGGGCAAAGCCAAGGTAAACAGCGTCTCCCCGCCCCCACCCGTCCCTTCCTGCAAAGACCCCTGCCCGCCCCCGCTGCCAGCCGCGGAGACGAGGGTCCCCCAGGTCCCCGACCTGGGTTTCGGCCGTGGGAAGGGCAGGTACTGGACCTCCCTCCCCCCGCCCCCCCCTTTCCAGATCCGCAGCCTTGGTTCCTTTCCTCTGGCTCCTTCTTTCTTTCTGCCCCACCCCTCTCTTGAGTGTCACTTCTACCCCTCGAGTGTCCTGAGAGAGGCTCTGCGGGTGTGTGCCCCATGAGCCCTCCTTGGCCTGGGCCCCAGCACCCACAGCTCCCCTCCTCCATCGGGGAACAGCTTAAGCTCCTGCATTTCTGTGGCCTGTGCAACACACCTCTTTGTTCTCCACCAAGACGATCCTTCTGTCTCTTTTTAAGTCTCCTTAAATCTTTGGAACCTCTCAGAGTGCCGGGACTCGAGGGGCCCTTAGAGATGCTACTAAAGCAGTGCCCGCATTTACCGACTAGTTGTCGGGACTGGAGAGGGTAAGGGGCCTGAGGGCTCAGGCCAGGTAGGTGGAGGCGGTGGGGGCTGGGACAGGAGCCTAGAGCTCTGGGCTGCCTGCTCCACACTCTTGCAGGGGCTCAGGGTGGGGGTGCAGCTGCTCTGGGAGGCACCAGCCCTTCGGGATGGCTTGAAATCTGGGAAGAGGGCCGTGGGCTTTCAGATGAAATGACTTCGGGATAGGCAGGTCATAGTGTATCCTCCCTGGCTTCTCTCTCAAGCTTCTCCTCCACTCTGGTCTCTCAAGTTCTCTTTGACCCCCCCCCCCCCTCCCCCCCCAGTCATGGCCAAGGTCTCCTTCTTCCCCAGGATTCCTTTATCTTATCTTTCCTGGTAGGAATGCTACAGCCTGCCTCTCCCCCAGACAGCACCAACGCAGACTTCTTCCCCAGCTGCGTCTACACCAACATCCTAATTGGTCAAGGCCATGGGTGGGGGAGGCCCTAACGCACTGGCCAGCAGGCAGGCAGGCGGGCAGACAGGCTGGAAAGTTCCTCCCTCAGCCCCTCTGTTGAGCTGCTGTCTCAGCAGTTTTTCCAATTCTGACAGAGGTGCTGGGGGAGGGGAGGAGTGCCTGCCCAGAGAACAGATGTAGGAGCCCCTGAGATGAGGACTTTCAGGGTGGGTTAACAAGAGGAGCCTTTTGGATTCTTAATCTTTTTGTTAATTTGAACTACAACAGCTCACCCTTGTATGTTACTAGCGCGTTCTGAGGTGCCCAGCTCCCCTGCTCCCTGCTTAAATAAATCCTGGATCACGTTCTCCAGGCCTGTCTGCTCCTGTTCCCACTGCCTCCTCAGGGATCCCTCCCTCACACCCCAGGCCCTGTTAGTGTGGCTCCCTCAGTCCCCCCACCCTGTTACCTCCTTCCCCTTTGTCTTCCCCTGGGGAGAGGCACTGTTTAAGATGGAAACTGAGCATGAGGGGGTTCTAAGTAACCCCCTCCCTGACTTCACAGAATGAGCAGAAGGGCAGGGAGTATAAGGCGTTGTCCCAGGAGTTAGGAGATCTGGGCTCAATTTGCTGTCACCAAGTCACGCTGGGACCCAGGGATATGGTGGAGAGAGTTTGAGATTGGGGTTTGCTACCTTCTAACTGGGCCAACTCATTTACCTTCCCTTGAGCCTATTTTCTCATCTATAAAATAACGTAACACCCACTTCATGGAAGGGTTGTAAGAATCAGCTGAAATAATGCATGCTTACGTACTTTTGCAAAATGTGGAAAGCTACAGAGTACAGATGTCAGTTATTGTTGTTAACTAGCTGTGTAACTTTGAGCAAGTCCTTTTCTCTCCCTTATTCTCAGTCTCCTTGCTTGTAAAGTGAGAAGCTTGTATTAAATCTCTCTAAGGTCGGGCGATCTGACACAGGAAAATTTCCCAAGTATAAGGATGTATCTTGGTTTCTGTGTGGAGGTGCTGTGGCCGACCCCAATTCCAGCTGTAGGGACACAATCATGCACTTTGTTAATGGGATGCTATACACAGGGCAACTGGCAGTGAGGTCTCAGTGAGACTGGAGGTTGCAGGATGTGGAAGGGTTGAGGATGAGGATGGCATGTTGGTGAGGGGAAAAAGGATCAAGAAGGATATAGGCCTATCTGGAGATGGGCCGGGTTGTGTTTCTGTATCATATGTGGCTGGTTTTCCAGGAAAATCTCTGTAGAACTCTAGAATGCCTTTACATTGTTTTGTTGTGGTGGGATTTTAAAAAATAAGGATATTGCCCTAGTTGGTTTGGCTCAGTGAATAGAGTGTTGGCCTGCGGACTGAAGGGTCCCGGGTTCGATTCCGGTCAAGGGAACATACCTGGGCTGTGGGCTTGATCCCTAGTAGGGGGTGTGCAGGAGGCAGCTGATCAATGATTTTCTCTCATCATTGATGTTTCTATCTCTCACTCCCTCTCCCTTCCTCTCTGAAATCAATAAAAAATATATATATATATATATTTAAGTAAGGACATTGCTGGAATTACATTCCCAGGCAGCAAAAATAAATACTAGGGATGACTGACCTCTGGGGTGAAATCAGCAAGTGGAAAGGAAGGTTTTAATAATGATCCGAGTTGCCCAGGGACAAGCCCTCTGTCCTCCTGGGCAATGATGTGAGGAAGGATTGGACTCACAGAGGAGAGATGACATGTTTGCTTCTCCCGTTCTTGGAGACTCTTTTTGAAGATGGGGGAGGGAGGTGATGGGGAGCCAGAGATTGGGTTCAGGGAGCTGGGGAACAGGGTGTGGTTTGCTGTCTTTTGGCCTGGCTGTCAGTTGGAAGTTCATCTATTCCTACTCCGCACTAACCGTAGAGCACAGTACCATGGAAGTTGGTCATGGCCAGGGGTATGCTGGAGCTGGCCCTATTAAAATTTCAGGAAGTTTGCAAACCGGTAGCATTCCATTGGTAGTTTGAAATCAGCCATGGGGGAGTCTTTACACCTCAGAATTTGGCAAATGCTACATATCAGAGCTACCCCCCAATTGTGTTGTGGGCATCTTACCCTTCTCCTTTATTTTAAACTTTTTTCTTTTATCCAAGTAATTAACAATTTAAAAGTCCAATAATTTTGAAAAAGTTCACAGTGGAACACGGTGAATCCCTGCCTGTCTTTCCTAACTCTCTCTCTTCAGTGTCCTTTCTTGTAGACAATGTTTACTCTGACATTTACACATCTCTACATTCCTAAAACAAAATTGTAGATACTGTTATCTTTGATCAACCCATTTTAGATAATTTTTTTACTTCCTATTATTGAAGGTGAAGATTTGATTATTTCCAATATAATTATTTTTAAATTTTCTGTTCAATTTATATTAGTATTTGCATCATTATGCCTTATGCAAATATTAACATCTAAGTGTACTATGATTACATTTTCTTTCTTTTTTATTTCACTGAGGTTTAGAATTTCTTGTTTTTTTAAAAAAAATATATTTTATTGATTTTTTACAGAGAGGAAGGGAGAGGGAGAGGGATAGAGAGTTAGAAACATCGATTCAGTTGCCTCCTGCACACTCCCCACTGGGGATGTGCCTGCAACCAAGGCACATGCCCTTGCCTGGAATCGAACCTGAGACCCTTCAGTCCTCAGGCCTACGCTCTATCCACTGAGCCAAACCAGTTAGGGCAGGAATTTCTTGTTTTTTAATATACTTGTTTTTCTTTGTATCTATTGCTAATTTCTACAACTTTCAGTGGACTCTCACTACAATTTTCTACAAGGTCAATTTATGGGTTCAAAGTGTTTTTTTCAGGTCCAAATTTTTTCTTAGAGACATCCTTCCTTCTGTCCTGTCTGGCCTGCATAGCTGTCATCCTGAGACTTCTGTTTGCTGTCATTCTTGGCATCCCTTTGCCTTTTGTTGTTGTTGTTAAATGTCTTGTTTCCTGGGCTGAATATCTTTATTTTTCTTGGGTTGCTAGAGCACATCCATCAATAGCTTCATCAAACCCTAGCTGGTTTGGCTTAATGGATAGAGCTCCGGCCTGCGGACTGAAGGGTCCTGAGTTTGATTCTGGTCAAGGGCACATGCCCGGGTTTCGGGCTCTATCCCCAAGAGAGGGAGTACAGGAGGCAGCCGATCAATGATTCTTTCTCATCACTGATGTTTCTATCTCTCTCTCTCTCCCTTTCTCTCTGAAATCAATAAAAATGTGTTTTAAAAATTAGCTTCATCAAGTTGAAAGATGGAGCAGTGGTAAAGAGTGTACTGATAACTGCTCTCAATGTGGTTGTTTCTTGAGTCCTTTCCTCCAATCTGAACTAGTTGTTCTCTACGCCTGCAGACGGTTGTCATCCTAGAACAGTGTCTGACACATAGGTGCTCAATAATGATTTCGTGAATGGATAAATAAATTCTGAAAATTCTCTTCATTATCATCCTGGAGATTGCCTTTGTTTTTTCCAATGTTGGTCTCCTTTCTTGTTTGCTGGCAAGTACTCTCCAGTAGCTTTCTGAGAAAGATTAGGAAGTAAAATGTTGGAATTGTGTATCTGAAGGTCACTTGATTGATAGTTTGGCTGGAATAGAATTAGAAATGGAAAATTATTTTCCTTCAGAAGAGTAAAGGCATTATTCCAAAGACTTCTTGCTTTTTAGATGTCTGAAGCTATTCCGGGTCCCTGGTCCTTTGTATGCGAAGTTTTTCCTCTCTGAAAGTTTGTAGTTTCCCCCACTGTTCTAAGGTTTGCCAGCGAGACCCCCTTTGTGTAGATCTGTCTTCATCCATTGTTAGTTACTATTGTATTCGATGGGCCCTTCCATCTGGATACTCATGTTCTTCAGATCTAGGGCATTTTATGGAAATACTTTGTGGATGATTTCCCCCTGTGTTTTCTATGTTCTCTCTCTTCCTGAAACTCCTATTCAGACACTGGACTTTCTGGACTGACTGGTCCACTTTTCTTATTTTTTCCAAATTTGACTTTTTGCTTTGCTTTCTGGAGATTTCCTTAACTTTATTTTCCAATCTCTTTCTGGGTCTTTAATTTCTGCCATCATATTTTTTTTTTTTTGTGGTTGTAAGCTGCTGCATTTAATGAAAGGCGTTTTAAACAATCGTTAGTGCAAATTATATAACTTCCTAATAATAACGCACCTTGTGTTTAGTTGATTGACATACAGTCATGTGTACGGAATTTAGGCTTCGGTCGAAAGGTGTGTTGTTTTTTGGCAGTTAGCGCTAAAATTAAAATCTGATAGCTAGGAGGATTTTACAAGTAGGCAGTGTATGTTTTGTCTCCGTACGCGTTTAGAATTGTAAGAATTTAGATATGGAAACTCTGTAGAACACGAATTTTCAAATTTTGGTTTTACTGACAAGGTGAAAGACGTTAATATTTCTGCTTTTTAAAAAAAGTTATATCATGTCTTAATGATTGTATTCTAATTATGCTTTTGGATTATGCCAGAAGTTAATAACCTATTAAATTCTGCAATAGTAACAAATGACATGCTGGTTATTGGTGTCTTTGAAGAGTAAGTATTGGTGGTAATGAAATTGTTAAATAACATTTTTTTTGGATTACGAAGTACTGATTTTTTTTTTTTTACTAGATCCCTGTGGACATGGCATATGACAAGTTTTTAAAGGCTCTTTAAACTATTGTAGCAGGCTGAAGCTATAAAATTATAATGTAAGGTCTTTATAGGTGAAACAGGCAAAAATACAAAAAGCAATTCATGTTATCTTTATGTTTTTTGTGTATGTCTTTTAGCCTCACCTGAGGGTATTTTTTGCATTGCCTTTTTTTTTTTTTTTCAGTTGATCAGCAGCCTAGCCCGCCATCATATTTTTAAAAAAATATATTTTATTGAATTTTTGCAGAGAGGAAGGGAGGGGGATAGAGAGTTAGAAACATTGATGAGAGAGAAACATCGGTCAGCTGCCTCCTGCACACCCCCTACTGGGGATGTGCCCACAACCAAGGTACATGCCCTTGACCGGAATCGAACCTGGGATCCTTCAGTCCACAGGCCGACTCTATCCACTGAGCCAAACCAGTGAGGGCTCTGCCATCATATTTTTAAAGTCTAAAAGTCATTTATGTTCTCTCTGAATTCTCTTTTAAAAAATAGTATCCTATTCTTGTTCAGTGTGTACAATATTCTCTATTATCTCTCTAAGGCAGCGGTTCTCAACCTGTGGGTCGCGACCCCTTTGGCGGTCGAACGACCCTTTCACAGGGGTCGCCTAAGACCATCCTGCATATCAGATATTTACATTACGATTCATAACAGTAGCAACATTACAGTTTTGAAGTAGCAACGAAAATAATTTTATGGTTGGGTCACAACATGAGGAACTGTATTTAAAGGGCCAGAAGGTTGAGAACCACGGCAAGGAGAATGATAGTAAACTTTCTGAAGTTTTCTTCTCCCTCCCTACTTTCTTTTTCTTCAAGTTGCTCCCCACCTCTTCCTATATATCTTTTGTATATTTACCTCACATTAGTTTTCTTCATATGTTTGGTAATCTTTGCATAGTTAAGAGTAAGACCCAAAAAGCCAACTGGGAACTGAGACTGAGGCTTACTGATCTGGAGCGTGGCTGTACGGATATCTGGGGGCACTGTCTGTTAGGGAACCTGTTTGGTGGTCTTTGCTCTTGAGCTGGCTGGATTTCTAGAGCGTATTTCTCTATTCTCTGTCCTGGAGCATCAGGGTCTGGCTGCTGAATCTCTGAAAGAGAAGAATGAGTTTCTCTACACTTGGCCTTCATTGGTAGGCATCATATTTGGCCCTCCTCCCTTTACCCAGCACATCTCTTTGTGTTTACATATTGCTTTCACGTGGTTAGAATGTGGGGCGTATGGGATGGGAGAGCTTGTTTATTTTTTATGGTACCTACACTCTCAAGTATGCTGATAAACCTCTAATTCTAGGACCTGTTTTCAACTTTCTAGAGAACAAACCTCCTGTGGGTAGGGAGGTACTTGCTAAGCCTGTGTTATTCAAACAACTTTACCTCAGTTTGCCTTAAATTTTTTTTTTCATGTTCCCCTTCAATTCCAATTCCGGAGTTTCTTGGTGTTGCCATTTTCTGAGCCTTTTGTGTACTCTGCAGTGTAATTTTGGATGGTTCTGGAAAGTAGACGATGAATGATAACGAATTTATGAGAAAGGAGAATCCTAAGTCCGGTGTTAAATAATAAAGCAACTTGATCAAGTATAGAGCAGTATTAAATGATTTAGTGGTGTTCTCATTTAATTTACAATTTGACAAAAGACCTGTGGGACATTGGGCAATGTTTTTACAAACACATCATTCTTTTTATGTGCTTATTTTGTTCCTGCCTCGTCTCTACTTTTTTCCTCTTGGAGGAAAACGGTCTGGGTAGGCTTTATGCAGAAAAAGTGCTCCAGGTATTTTCTGGATATAAATGCCTGTTATGTACCTTTTCTTCTTTTTCTCTTTTTTTGCTTGAAACTATAGACAACATCATGGTTATACATTGGAGTCAGAGTGGCTGAGTGTCCCAGCCTACTATCTGTGTAACCTTGGGCCCAACCTTGCTCCTCTAAAATGGGGATGATAGCAATTTCCTTACAGGGCTGAGAGAGGAATACATGAGATGATGTGTGGCACATAGTAAGTGTTCAATAAATATTCAGATTTATTTTTGAAAATTATTTCAATTTCTATATATCTTTTAGTTAAAAATATTGAACAATTATTGGCACAATAAATATTTTAAGCTCTTTCCACAAAGAGAAAGAAACCACCCACCATCTTCTTACCCAGCACATCTCTTTGTGTTTACATATTGCTTTCACATGGTTAGAGTGTGGGCCGTATGGGATGGGAGAGCTTGTTAAGGAGAGTGGTCCCGTACCTGGTCAGATTCACCCTTGCCTGGCAGTCGGTCCAGCTGAGGTCCTGTGGGATGATGTTTTGAGATGGTTTTGGACGGATTAGAAAAGGGTTAGACCTGGGTTTAACTGCTGGGGTGCATTTCGGTCCCTTTGGGGAAGGGTTGGCAGTTTAGAGTCAGATGGAAGAGGCAAGAATAGGCCATAGCAGGGAAGAATGGGCTGGGCACTGAGCAGAGGGCCTGGAGCCGTCTTCAGAGTAGCTGCTGGGGACCCAAAATGGAGCATTTATTTTCTTCTTTTTAAAAAAAATATATTTTATTGATTTTTTAGAGAGGAAGGGAGAGGGAGAAGGATAGAGTTAGAAACATTGATGAGAGAGAAACATCGATTCGGCTGCCTCCTGCACACTCCCTCCTGGGGATGTGCCTGCAACCCAGCTACATGCCCTTGACCGGAATCGAACCTGGGACCCTTGAGTCCGCAGGCTGACACTCTACCCACTGAGCCAAACCGGTTAGGGCTGGAGCATTTATTTTCTAATGGAACTGTCAGGGGAGAGCAAGAAGATGACCGTTATCAACATGGTGATATGAAGTGACATGAGGGCGAATGTGGTCAACATGAGTTGGCTGATTAAGAGGGAATGCTCACGCTCCCTTGGAGCTCATGGGATTGTCCTGGTGGAGCTCAGCCATCTAGTGGAGGAACCCAACTTCTCCCATCCCAGCAACTGCTAAAGACTGAGTGTGTGCACCCTGTAAACAGGAGGACTTGGTCTGCCCAGAAAGCCAGAGGCCTTTCTTCTGGTTCAGCCATTGTGTGTATCTGTGGGGTTTTCCTGGGTGCTGGCCCAGCGACTTATCTCCTCCTCTCCTTCTCTGTCTGCTCTGGGTAACAGAGTTACCATGGTTACGGGTACAGATTGTGCCACAGATCTTCTGAAGGGGGATTAAGCCAGAATCCCACAAGATTACCTTGTTGTCACTGTGTAGTCACCCTGAGGAAGTGGAAAGAACCCCTGGTTTCAGGGTCAGACAGATGTGGCTTATGATCCTGGCCCAGTCACTCTCTAGTGTGTGTCCTTGGACAGGTTGCATAGCCCTTCTGAGCCTGCAAAATGGGACTAAGCTGTGCCAGGCACTAGGCTAAGCACTTCCTTTGTATTAACCAGGGGTCCTCAAACTACGGCCCGCGGGCCACATGCAAATACAAATATTGTATTTGTTCCCGTTTTGTTTTTTTACTTCAAAATAAGATATGTGCAGTGTGCATAGGCATTTGTTCATAGTTTTCTTTTTCTTTTTTTTTTTTTTAACTATAGTCCGGCCCTCCAACGGTCTGAGGGACAGTGAACTGGCCCCCTGTTTAAAAAGTTTGAGGACCCCTGGTATTAACTCATGGAAGCTCTGTAATAGCCCAATGATGCAGAACTGTTACCCCGTTTTACTGCTGAGGGAATATAGGCACAGGGAGGATACACAACTTGCCCCAGGTCACATAAGTTCCTGGTACCTAGAGGATGCAATACCCCTCCCCCTAGGTATTTCACAATTCTTGAATGCTTGGACCTTAGGAGTACCTTGTTTAACTTGTCAGACAGGTGAAGTGGCTGAGTCTATGCTCTGATCATTCCCTGGAAAGATGACAAATTTCCCACAATTAACCTGACCTACTGAGGTCACATTGAAAGTAGAACCAGGTCCTTGTCTCCAAACCCAGGTGCTCCCTTCCCTCCAGGCCTTCCCCCTTCTGTGGGAGTTTCCTGGAAAGAAATGAGTGTGTGAGGGGGCAAGACCAGGGAGAGAGGGGCTGGCCGTGGAAGTCATTGGCTTCTGGTAGCTGGGAAGGGCACCTGCTTGGTGAGGGATGGCCCTTCTGGGATGGGGAGTGTGAGCCAGTGGCCGCCCCCTAAAGGAATGACTTCCTCTGTGTTCTCCCCACTGCGGCTTCAGGAGTATCTGAAGGGCCTGTGCAACCCAGAGCTGTGGAAGGAGGTTCGCTACCCACCAGCCCTGCACTGCGCCTTCCTCGGGGCCCAGGGCCTTTTCCTCGACTGCCTCTGCTGGAGTACCCAGGCTTACCTGGTGCCTGGCCCCACTGGCTCCCTAATGGTGGGCGGGCTGACCGAGTCTTTCATCATGACCCAGAACTGGCTGGAGGAGCTGGTGGGGCGACTGCGCTGGGGCCCTGCCCCTGTTTGCACCCCCCGGGGTATCTGGGAGGCCGAGGTGACCCGGGCCTTTGGGGCTTTGATCTGGATCCGTGGTGACCAGTATGCAGGGGACCTGCTGCAGCTGCCCCCAGCAGTCCAGGAGCTGCTGCTGAGTCTGGTGCGGGATGCTGCGGGCAAGGAGGACATCATCGAGTGGCTCGGCCGCCTTGGCACCTCCAACGCCCGCTCCGACCCGGAGGTCCTGATCTGCCCTCCGCAGCAGCAGAAGGAAGGCTCGGCCATGACGTCTGTGGGCGATGGTCCTGGGCCTTTGCTGGAGATGAGGACCCTCCAGAATGGGAACACAGAAAATACAAAGAGATTAACCAGCCTGGGAGCCAGCCCAGGCCAGAAGGCACAGCAGGAGACAGCAAACCAGCTGGTACGGTAAGTTTTGGAGAATCAGTCTGGCTTCTCTGCCCCTACCCCGTTCCCCCACCCCAAAGAAATAATTTTGCACCTAATTGGCCTCCCCACCTTTCCAACAAACTTGCGCTTCCTCCAGGGTTGGTTCCAACAGTCAAGGTGGTATGGACAGTGCTCACAGGGAAGGGCCAGTGCCAGCCGCCGGCAGCCAGGATCCTGCGAACCACTCACAAGCCTTGGCACAGCAGCGGCAGCTCCAGAGGGTGGAAGACAAACTCTCCTTCCAGCCTCCGGTGACAACCCTGGGTGTGTGCCCATCTTGGAAGGCCTGGGCTCCGGGGCCAGCCTTTGGGCCCTTGTGGCCAGGGACCATTGCTACGACCTTCTGGAGGATCAATGAACTGCATTCTCTCCACCTGGCCTGGCTGCTGTCCCAGGCGTGCTTCAGTTTCCCGTTCTGGCAGAGGCCTCTGGGCCCCATTCAGTTCAAGCTCCCAGGGCAGAGTCCTTTGCCCTTAAACCTGGAGTGGAAGCAGAAGGAGCTGGTTCCTTTGCCTAGTGTGGAAAGCCCAGATGGGGGACCAGGAGGAGAGGCAGACCTACAGAATTGCCCAAGGCCAGAGACCCCCCCAAAAGTCATGAGTTTATTGGTGGTCTCAGGGGGCTCTGGTATAAAGGGCAAAGCTAGCCCAGGGCTTCCACAGGTAGGGCCACCTTTGACCTCTACACCCCAACTCCAAGCTGGAAGTGAGCTGGGGGATCAAGGAAGTGTACAGTGGGATTGTAAGGGGCCAGAAGAGGGGCCCTTACCAGCACCACCCACAGGGCAAGGGGTGCCTACTGCTCAAGGGAGGCCTGTGGGCCAAGGGGAGCCAACGGCTGAGTCAGTACCTGACACTCAAACAGTGCCTGAGACTCTCGAAGTGCCCATGGCTGCAGCAGTGCCTACTGCTCAAACCCCACCCCAAAATCAAGTGCTATCTGCAGCCCCCAAAGTGCCTACAGCCCAGATGATGCCCGCAGACCACACAGAACCTGCAGCCCTCAAAGTGCCTTCGGCTCCAACAAAGCCAGCCGCTCCTGGGGGGCCCACAGCTCAAAAGGCAGCCGTGGGTCAACCGGCACCAGCAGCGCAAACGGTACCTGCGACTCCGAAAACCCCCACAGCTCAGAAAATCCCTGCAGCCAAAACATCACCTGCAGGTCCCAAAGCACCCAAAGCTCAAACTGGGCCTGTGGCTAAAACAGGGTCTGCAGCCCCCAAAGCGCCTGCGGCCCCCAAAGCGTCTGCGGCCCCCAAAGCGTCTACGGCCCCCAAAGCCTCCAGAGCTCCGAAGACGCCTGCAGCGCAGAAGGCGCTCACAGATCCAGGGCCAGCCGTGGATGCAGCCAAACTCCCGAGAGAGGCCCAGCCTTCGTCAAGGGGCAGTGCGTCCTCCCCAAAGGGCCAGGGGGAGGCCAGGAGGCAGGGTCTCCAGCCCTGCAGCACCGTGGCTCCCAGTAGTAAGCACCAGCCTCAGGTGGGTGGGCTCCTGGGGGCTTCGGAGGGGACCCCAAGGCAGCCACCTCGACAACCACAGGCGAACAGCACAGTGACCAGCTTTCAGAGGTACCATGAGGCCCTGAACACGCCCTTCGAGCTGAACCTGTCGGGAGAACCTGGGAACCAGGGGCTGCGGCGAGTGGTCATTGATGGCAGCAGCGTGGCCATGGTGTGAGTAGCATGAGGGTAGGCTGGGCATGCTGGGGAGCTGGGACAGGGCATCCCTGGGGCGACTGTGGGCACCCCTTTTTGACCTCTGTGTAAGGGTGACGTGGTTCAGATGGGGCAAAGCTGGAAGTGGCCCATGTTGAGTGGCTACTGCGTGCTAGGCAGTGTGTGCGACATTGTCACAGCAGCTCTCAGCCCTGCAAATGTAGGTTTCTGTTCTCCCTCTTTGACAAAAGCGGAAAAGAGAGGTGACGAATCTTGCCCAAGGTCCCAGAGCCTGTAAGGGTTCCAGCTGGTCTTTGGGTTCAGATTGTCCACTGCCGGGGTGCACACTCTTTCCACTGCAGCCTGCCTCACATAACATGGCGTCGGTCAACCCCCAGCCAGGTTTCAAATGTTGAGCCCGAACCGTAAGGCCCAGCACAGACCTCCTCTGTGGAGCTTTTACTGATCAAGCCTTAGAGGTTGCCCTCTCTGCACAGCACTTACTGTGTGTATGTGTTGGCGTGAATATAGGTAAGACCACTCAATGTGCCAACATGGTAGAGAGTTATCTGTGCTGAGCACGCTCCCAGCACACGGTTGGTGGTCAGCAAATGTCTGTTTGCTTCCAGTTCTAACCTGAGCTCTTTGGGTGTAGAGGTTGCCTTCTTCCTCTTCTTGCCCTGCAGGCCCCCGTACACCCGTGCACATGCACACAGGAGGTGAGCTCACCCAGTAGGTGCTCACAGAATGTTTAATGATGGAGGGAAGGGAGAGGGCATTGTCGGTGTCTGTGGTGCTGATGCTGGTGCCCTGGCATTGCCCAGGCTCTGAGGGAGGGGTGGAGGCAGGGCGATTCCTTGGCAAGAAGTTGCTCCCTCACTTCTCACCACCCCCGCAGACACGGCCTCCAGCACTTCTTCTCCTGCCGTGGCATTGCCATGGCAGTGCAGTATTTCTGGAACCGGGGACACCGGGAGGTCACTGTGTTTGTACCCACCTGGCAACTGAAGAAGAACCGGAGGGTGAGAGGTGAGCTGTCCACTCTCCCAGCCCCCCTCAGCCCCTCCAGCAGCACCCAGCTTTTCCTTTCCCTGCCTCTCTGTCTGCACCACGGCCTTTCCCACTTAGCCTTTCCTCTGACGATCTCTATCTTCTGCCTCTCGCCTCCAGAGAGCCACTTTCTGACGAAGCTACATTCCCTCAAGATGCTTTCGATCACCCCCTCCCAGCTTGAGAACGGCAAGAAGATCACCACCTACGATTACAGGTGTGCCAGGCCCCAGCCTGCTCTCTGTGGGGCTCTGCGGTTGGGCTGGTGTGTCGGGTGGAGTCCTGCCTCATCTGCTCTGTGTCCGAGGGGGCCATTTCAGAGGGATGGCACCTGGCCTCTGCGCAGAGGGACACAGTGAGGAGAGGGCTCCCAGGTCGGCTCTGCCTGAGGCCAGGGGCACTCCTGACTTTGGGACTCTGCAGCTCCATTTCCCTAGTTCACAGGCTCTCTCCCCCCATGACCTGCGGACTGAGACCCACTGCTGTGGGTGGGCTAGCCCAGGTGGCTCCTGGCGCCTCGAGTGGGTTGCTCCCCCAGGCAGCTGGTTGAAGTTCATGTCTCAAGGAACGGCTCCAGTTTTTCCCTTCCCCAGCCCTGGCGCTGGGAGGAGGTATGTGTGTGGCTGTATGTGGCTGGAGCTCTGGCTGGCCTCTGAAAACGGTTAGACTGGCCCCATTTCCTAGCCAAAGCCCGAATGCCTCCCTACTTGTCAGCCCTAAGCACCCGGTCCCCAACCTGGCTGCACACTGCACAGGGGAGTCTGCGATGCTGCCTCTGCGGGGGCAGGGAGGCCCTGCGGTAGTCACGGGTCCTGGGCTGGCGTCCAGGCCGGGCAGACACAGGTCTTGGCGTCACTTAGGCTCCTCCCATGCCGGGCAGGGAGAAGTTCTGTTCCTCCTCACTTTTCCCAACACCGACACTCTAAGCATTCAGGCCTGGGAAGGGCTGGGCAGGGCCGCTCAGGCATCTCTCCTTCAAGAGCAAGCCCCCTGGGTGAGGTGTGTAAGTGCCTCTAGATGCAGGCTTGGGTTCGAGGGAAGACGGCTTTTCTGCAGAAGGCCCCTCTGCTGGGCACTAGTGGAATAGCATGCTTTCTGGTCACAGCGATTGAGAAGGGATCCTTGGGAAATAGGTTTGTTTCTTCGGGTATGTTTTTATATGTGTATACATGCACACACATATATGTGCCTTGGCATGTACATGAATGTTATGTGTTGGTGAAGAAGAATAAGGGAAAATGTGTGTGTATGCTGTGTGGCAGAGGCTGAGCTAGATGCTTCCATGTGTGGTCATTCAGTTCAATCCTCACAGCAGGAGAGGGAAGGCATTTATGTTTCACAGATGCAGAAACTGAAGTAGTAAAATGCATGTGTGGATGGGAATGAGTGTGTGGGTTTCTGTGGGTGTGTGCATGTGTATGTGTATGTGTAAAATAGGGGTCTGTGTTTGAATAAACAGTTGGGAGGTGTACATTCCCAGTTCACCCTCCCAGGGGCTAGTGGTGACCCCAAATAGCTGCACAGATTGAGGGGATGGGCTCCTGAGCCCTGGCTTCCCAATGACCAAGGGCAGCCTTTGTCCAACACAAAGTGAAGCTGCAAGTTCTTTTCCCCAGAGGCCCAGGGAAGCGAGGGGCTGGTTACTGGGACTCAGTGACTTTCCCTCTCCTTGCAGGTTCATGGTAAAGCTGGCAGAGGAGACAGATGGCATCATCGTCACCAATGAGCAGCTCCACATCCTGATGAATAATTCCAAGAAACTGATGGTCAAAGATCGGTGAGGTGGCTGAGAGGGGGTGGGCTGCTCCTTCCCCTTGGATGTCAGGCAGCCTGTGGCAGTGGGGTACTGGGGCAGTGAGAGGGTCCCTGGGCCAGTGCCCACCAGCACCTGCCGAGCGGAGATGTGGTCCTGGCCCCTGTGAGACGCCCAGGCAGCAGTGGGTGTGGGCGGGTCACGGGCTCTCTGTGACGGTCCTCTCCCTTCTGAGTCAGCC